TAAGCAACTACTGCTTTGTTTTCTGTAATATGAATTAAGTTACATAGGGTCATATGGTATGCCTTTTTTTGATCTGGCTTCTTCCATTTTTCTAATTATGTTGAGGCTTACCCAAGCTGTTGTGTGTATTAATAATTCATCCCTTTGTACTGCCAAGAAGGATTCCGTTATATGAATGTACCACAAATTGTATATCCATTCATCTACAAATGGCCATTCAAGTTGCTTATGGTTTTGACAATTACAAATAAACCTGGTATGACTATACATAGATTTTAAAAATCATCTCTCTCCTGTACATACGTAAACAGAGACTGTAAGTGGAATGGATCAGTTGATGTTCTTAAAACTTCTCCATGTTAAGAATCCAACTGTTGGACCAGCAGATGGTATAATGGTTACATCACTGGACTTCCCCATAGTCAACCGCAGTTCAAGGCCCGGACCTGGCGGCTTAAAACACACCAGGCGCATGCATTGGTGCCCAAAATCCCGAGAGGAAACTGGAGGAGAAGGAATTATGTTGCGGCCATCTCCCCTGGGGGGTGATTTCTCACTTTCTGTCTCTCTGTCTCTCTCTGTGTCTCCAGGAGCACATACTCCCTATACCAAAAATCTCCCTGGGAAAAAAAAAAGGAATCCAGCTATTTAAATCACTTTGATTGAGTTATTAATGTCTGTTTTTTTCCCCACATGGTGTCTCTCTGTGCTATTAAGAGTGGTAAGAAAGGGGCCAGCAGGTGACATGGTGGCTGAGGCACTGAATCCCACGTGGCCAACCATGGTTTAAGTCCCAGACCTGGCAGCTCACTTTCTCACCTTCCCTTTCTTTGTCTCTGTCTCTCTCTGCTCAAATAAAAATAAATGAATAAATAAATAAAATTAAATAAATAATTCCTTAAAAGAAAAGAAAGTGGTAAGAAGAAAAAGTGTAAGATGTAAAAACACTGGTAACAGGCCCTTACGTGGCTCTGTAATTGCATGGAGCTGGCCTGATCTGGATCTCCCTGGGGTCATTCTGCTAAACACATCTGCATTGCCGCCTCCCCACCAAGGTTTGCTTCCTAGCTTTCTTTAAGGGTGTTCCACGTGCCTGGGATGACCTCCCACATCTCCACACCCCTTCTGCTAGTTTCGAACCTGGGGCTTTGGGTGTTTCTGCATCGCAGGCGGTGACAAGCGCATTGACGGTGGATGCAGGAGGAACTACAGGACAGCATCAGCCGTAAGCTCTTTCTCGGGTTCAGAATCCTAACTGTGGTCAACTGTGCAGTGAGACTATGAAGCAGGGATGTTCGGCCAGTTCATATGGTGGATAGAGACCTGGCAGATGAAACTGTGCCCACTGTCACATTCATTAGTGACAGCCAGGGCCAGAACAGAACAGAGTGTATAGGATCCATTTGGCTTTTCTGACTTTACTAGGATTTTCTTTTTTAAAAGAATATAGAAATTTCAGTGTGTGTGTGTGTGTGTGTGTGCGTATATATAT